ACCGGTGACATATAGTGTAAAAATAATTATAATTTCACATGTGAATATTTTGAGTGTAAATAATATATAGAAAAGATTTGCATAATATGTAGAAAATGAGTTACAGATATTTACAATTTATTTACTGTCCCACTAATTTGTGATTTTTCTTATATTTTATACCTACAACTACTTTAAAATATTATTAAAACTATTTTTTTCATAATCATAATTACTTTGAAACATAATTAACATCATTTTTCCCATAGCATTACCCTTGCAACATAATCAATATCATTTTATTTTATTTTATTTTATTTTCATAACTTCGCCCATTGAGACAAAATCAACATCTTTGAGTTTACGAAATTAATTTTTAATTTTTTTTAAAAAAAAATCTGAATCAAAATTTTAAAAATCAAACCAAGTGTAGTCGTGGTCAACACTATCATTACTCCTTGACCACTTTGTGAACACCACATTCCTCATAACTTGAACTATATTTCTAAAAATCAAACTTGTTTGATATAATATATTTATTTTTTAAAAAGTGAAATTGATTCTAAAATAAAAAAAATTATTTTCAATTATTTTAAAAATATTTTTTTCCCCTCTTTTTCCAACCACTTTTGGCCATCATTCACTGTCACTGTCGTTTGTGAGTTTTTATTGTTAAAATTTTTTAAATGACTTATTGTCAAGATATTTATAAAAAAAAATACATCATTCTCCTATTAGCAGATAATAATAATAAAAAAATCTTAGTTAATTAGACATTTTTAGATTCAGTTCAACGATGAGACAAATTAGAAAATTAATTTTTTTAAAAAAATCCAAAGGAAATCCATTTTGATCTTATTTTGAATTAAATTTTTATTTTTTGGATTTTTTTAATTTACTTTTTAGATTCTTTTACACAAGATAGACCAAAAAAGCAAAAAAAAAAAAAAATTGACATGATTTTAAAAAAAAGAGTCACTCAAAACAAAAAGAAAAAAAATGAAGAAAAATTATACAAACTTCCCAAACAGGGTATAAAAAAGAATCAAAACTCCAAAACTTCTGTTATTTATTAGATTAAGGAAAATGCGTTGGACCCCACTGGGGGTACTGGGGTCCTCTCTGATTGAAGGAAATTTTTTTTTTTTTGTTTTTAGCCAATGGGGAGCCGACACCTCACTGGGAGTTGTCAGTGGGGATCGGCTCATTGGGGGTCTGTAGCACTTCCCTTAGATTAAACTCCTAAGATGTTGGAAATGGGGGTGCATCAAAGAAGGATAAAATCATAAATTGTGCTAACAATAGTAGAGGCAATAACAGCGGTAGTATGAACCATAAGTACTGCGATAACAGTCTCCATGTCCATTGTAATTAAGACATTGTAGATGACATTTTGATAAATAACAACCAGCCGGATTCAACACAAGCAGTTCACATCTCTTTCGCCCACCATTCACTTCACTCACCATCATCATCAACACCACTGCAACCAATCAATGAATGATATATTCAAAATTAATCACATATTTATTAGATTATTCAACCCTAAGTATGATATAATTTAAACACCCAAGTGTGGAACCTTTGAAAAAGTGAGATTCAAAATAAATTTTGTCTGATTCTATAATTGATTTTATTTTATAAATTTGATTTGCATTTTCTTTTTTGAAATATTTTCCAAATTATGTAGTATTGGTAAAAAAAAAATAAAAAAATAAAAAAGGAATAAATAGATACAAAATAATGAAATGAAACTTGAAAATAATAAGTAAACAGAAAGGAAATGTACGAGAGACATGGGAGTGACTGTTGGTGAGAGAGAGGTGCAAACCACTTATGGTGGATCACAAAAACAAAAACAAATACAAGAGAGGATTGATAATCTGAAAAACAGATTTATTTCACTCAAATATGTAGAATACACTGAGGAGAGAAAAAGACACTTTTACTCTCTTACTCTCTTCTTTCTCCCACACTCTGAATTCTCAAAATACAATAGTTATATATAGATAAAACTAGTAATGTGAAACCATTAAATGCAAATACGGCTGAGGCTGTGAATTTCAAACGGTTGCAATCACTTTTGACAAAACTTAATTTCAGTTTCCATTCTACTCTTAGGCCGGTGGAAAAGAATAATTTTTTATTATAGCTATAGCAAGATTACTTCACAACATCCCTCCTTAATCTTGATTCTCCATGCTGCTTTATCCCAAGCATCAACTTCATTCTGTTGAATAGATCATTTTTCAATGACTACGTGAAAATATCTGCAAGCTAATCTTCAGATTTGCAAGGAAATAATTCCACCTCTTTATTTTTCACATGCTCTCGGATGAAATGATAACGGGTGTCAATATGCTTACTTCTTTTACGATAAACTAGGTTCTTTGCTAATGCAATTGCTGAGCGATTATCAGCATAGATCTCAGTAGGATTTTCTTGTGGAAATCCTAAATGCTTCAACACATTTCTTAACCAAATTGCATGACACACAGTTGAGTTGGCTGCAACATACTCAGCTTCGCAAGTTGACAGTGTCACAATAGCTTGCTTCTTGGACGACCATGTGAACACTGTATTTCCCATAAAGAAAGCAAACCCAGTAGTACTCTTTCGTTCATCTAAGTCACGTCCCCAGTCACTATCTGAATAGCCAACAAGACTGAAATTATCAGTTGGTTTATAGAATAAACATCATCGATTGTTCCTTTGATGTAGCAAAGAATTTTCTTTGCTGCATAAAAGTGTGAATGATCCGGTATTTCCATATATCTGGTAATCAGTCCTACTCCATAGAGTATGTCTGGCCTGGTGCAACTAAGATAGCGAAGACTTCCAACTAAGCTCTTGAAATAAGTTGGATCCACATCACTTGCCTTTATACCTTTTTTGAGCTCCACTCCACTGTCTACAGGAGTGTTCACTGGATTACAATTCTCCATTCCATATCTCTTGAGAATCTTCTTGGCTTAGCCACTTTTGGAAATAAAAATTTCATCTTTTCTTTGTGCCACTTCAATGCCGAGAAAATGAGCTATCATCCAATATCTGTCATTTTAAATTCTTGGATCATGCTTATTTTAAATTCTTTGAACATGGCTGGATTGTTTCTGGTGAAAATTAGATCATCAACATAAAGACAAGCAAGCAACATACTTCCATCAGCTTCTTTCTTCAAATATAGTGTGTGCTCATATGGGCATTTTTCAAAACCATTGTCATGAAAATACTGATTAATTCTAGTATTCCATGCGCGCGGAGCTTACTTCAATCCATAAAGTGCTTTCTTCAATTTGTACACTTTGTCTTCATGCCCATTCTGAACATACCCCAAAGGTTGCTCAATATAGATTTCTTCTTTAAGAAAACCATTAAGAAATGTAGATTTCACATCAAGTTGATAGATTTGCCATTTGCGCTGGGCAACCAAAGAAATCATTAGCCTGATAGTCTCCAACCGGGCAATTGGAGCAAACACCTCTCCATAATCAATTCCAGCTCTTTGCTTATAACCTTTTGTCACTAATCTTGTCTTATAGCGTTGCACTTCACCTTGTGCATTCCTTTTTGTCTTGTATACCCATTTCACTCCAATGGGTTTGTGCCCCTCCGGTAGACTGGTAAGCTTCCATGTGTCATTTTTCTCAATGGCATGAATTTCTTCATCCATTGCTTTATTCCATTTATCTTCTTGGATGGCTTCTGAGAAAGTAAGTGGACCACTATCTGCGAGTAGGCAGAACAAATTCAGATCTTCTTCTTCTGTAACTTCATATATCTCTTGCAAATTTCTCATTGGCCTTGGTTGTTTGAAAAAACTATCATCTGATGATGATGCATCACTTCTGTGAGAAACTGGCGATCTAGGTGCCGATATTCTATATGGAGGAGTTTGTGGCTCATCTTGAACTTCTCTTGTGATTTCAACCGGAGTTTTTGATGTTTCATCTTCAAGAATGAGTTTTGCATCTTTAACAACTTCATCTTGATTCTAGTTCCAAACTTCTTCTTCTTCAAATATCACATCTCTACTCATTATCACCTTTCTGGTAATGGGATTATACAACTTGTATCCCATTGTTCTATCTCCATATCCAACAAGGATACATTTTTCTCCCTTATCATTGAGCTTGGTTCTTCTTGCTTCTGGAATCTTAGTGTACGCAACACATCCAAATATTCTGAGATGGTTGACACTTGGCTTATGTGAACTCTAAGCTTCTTCTGGAGTCATAAAGTGAAGGCTCCTAGTTAGGCATCTATTTAGTAGATACACAGCACATGATACAGCTTCAGTCCAAAATTGCTTGGGCAATCCTTTTCCTTTGAACATGTTCCTTGCCATATCTAAGATTGTACGATTCTTCCTTTTAGCAACACTATTCAGCTGTGGCGTATAGGATGGTGTTGTTTGATGCTTGATTCCATGCTCTTTGCAATAATTCTTGAAAGCATATGATATATACTCTCCACCTTGATCTGGCCGCAATGTCTTGATGTAGTAGCCGCTTTGTTTTTCTACAAGAACTTTGAATTCTTTGAAGATATTGAACACCTCCGATTTTCTTTTAAGAAAATACACCCATGTCTTCCGACTATAATCATCAATGAAGGTGAGAAAGTATCTATTCTATCCATTTGACGTTGGCTTCAATGGACCACACACGTCAGTGTGCACTAGCTCCAACGGCTTTGTTGCTCTCCACTTCACTGTTTTGGCAAAGCTAGTTCTGTGATGCTTGCCAAGAATGCAGCTTTCACAGACTTCATTACTATGAGCAATATGAGGGAGCCCTTTCACAATATTCTTGCTTGACAACAGCTTCAAGCTTCCAAAGTTGAGATGTCCAAACCTCAAACGCCATAGCCAGTTTTTGTCTTTGATGATGGCACTTAAACACTTCGCAACATCATGTTGGATGTTCAATGCAAACATCCGATTCTTGGACATTCTCACCCGAGCGATCAAATTACCATGATTGTCTTTGATGGAAAGATGAGAATCTTTCATGCTGATGTCATATCCTTTCTCTAAGAGTTGTCCCATACTCAAAAATGTTGTTCTTCATGGCAGGAACATAATAAACATTGGAGATGTAATCATGATCTCCATTCTGGAGCTTGATCAGAATATTGCCTATTTCTTTCACTAGAGTCTTTGAAGAATCACCAAATGAGACTTGTGCTTGTACAGTCTCGTCAAGCTCGACGAACAACTCTCTTTTACCACACATATGATTACTGGCTCCCGAATCTAGATACCAAATATTGTTTTGGTTTATAGTATCTCCATGGTGGACAAACAGGACTGTAGGTCCGACTTTGTTTATTTCCTACTCGGCAAAATTTGCTTGCTCTCTGGCTTCTGTTGTTGCTTTACTTCGGCATTCATTACTGTAATGCCCGAACTTGTGGCAATGGTAGCACCGGACATTGCTTTTGTCAAATCTTGGTCGGTTGCTGTAACCACCTCCTCTTCCTTTTGCTCTTTCTCTTAGAGAAAAATGTGGTTGACTTCTTCCTTCTCCTGCTGGACCTCTTCCGTCTCTTCCTCAAAAACCAGAACTTCGGTTATTATAACCACAATCTCTTCCTCGGCTTCTTTGTGATGTCCCTCCTTGCTCGTTTCCGTCATCTCTGAAAGACAGCTTTGATTGAAGAGCTTGCTGTAGAGAACTTGAGGGAGTCTTCTTGTTGATCCTCTGTTCATGAATCTCAAGTGTGCCCATCAGCTCATCGGTGGTCATGGCACTGAGATCCTTGGACTCTTTTATTGCTACAACCACACGCTTGAACTTGGGACTGAGTGATCAGAGAATCTTCTCTATCACTTGAAGAGATTCCATCTTATCCCCATATCTTCTCATCTAATTAACAATGGTCAATGTTTTGTTGAAGTACTCAGGAATTGACTCATTCGCATTCATGTGTAGCATCTCGAATTCGACACGTAACACCTGGAGTCGAACTCTGATCGTTTTCTCAATTCTACGATGTGAATTGCGAAGAATACTCCATGCCTCTTTAGAGGTTGCTACTATTGAAATCTTCTCAAAGCTTGACTTATCAATGCCTTGATAGAGTAGATACAAGGCCTTTTTTATCTCTCTTTCTTGAATCTTTTAACGCCGTCTTCTGAGCTTCATTTAAATTTCCTTCATCTTCGAGAGTAGCTAGCTCGTCATATCCTCGATCCACTAACTCCCACAAATCTTGTGAGGCTAGTAGGACGTGCATTTGAATACTCCAATTTTCATGGTTCTCCTTGCTGAGTTTTGGAAACTAGGGTTGAAAGAAATTATTTGTGTTGGCCACTTGTTGAATTTAAGAAACCTATAAATTTTCGGGATGGAATTTTCAAATTCTGACTGTACAGATGTGTCTGGAATATTTCAAATAGTTGGAAAGCAATATTGGATCACCAAAAACGGACTTCAAACGACTTAGATCTAGCAAAAAATAATTGAACGACTCAAACTGGCAGAATCTGGGACTTCTGAGAAGCACCGGATAATTTTTTTGGATCAGATGACGTCAGCGTAACGTCAGCGGCGTGGGTCGGCTCGTCTACGACTTGGCGGCACGGCTCCGCTGCGGCTCTGCTCAGCTCGTGACTCGGCTCCGTTTGTGGTTCAGCTCGGCTTATGGCACGACTTAACGGCTCAGATGACGTCGTCAATGACGTCAGCTCTTGGATACGGGTCCGGATTTAGGCTAGTGGATCGAATCGTACGTCAGACGGGTCGGACTCTACAATCCAGGCGAAGAATACCCGTGGACACGCGTGGGCGCGTTTCTGCGTGTGGTGGCGGCGTCGACAGTGCATGGAGCGCGTGCGGTCACTATGGAACTCGATTTTCAACGTGGTTTTTTTTAGTGAGATCATCTCGATGAGACCTACACACTGGTGTAATCAAAAGTTGATGTCAACAACTTTGATTTTTGGGCAAAATTTGAAACGATGCTCTGTTCTACTGTTTTTTTGAAAAAACAGGCCCTTCTGGTGCTTTGATACCACTGTTGGTGAGAGAGAGGTGCAAACCATTTATGGTGGTTCAAAAAAACAAATACAAGAGAGGATTGATAATCTGAAAAACAGATTTATTTCACTCAAATATGTAGAATACACTGAGGAGAGAAAAACACACTTTTACTCTCTAACTTTCTTCTTTCTCCCCACTCTGAATTATCAAAATACAATAGCTATATATAGATAAAACTAGTAATGTGAAACCATTAAATGCAAATACGGCGGAGGCTATGAATTTCAAATGGTTGCAATCACTTTTGACAAAACTTAATTTCAGCCTCCATTCTACTCTTAGGTCGGTGAAAAGAATTTTTTTTATTATAGGTGAAACAGGATTACTTCACAATAGTGACAGCCTTTATAAGGCACACATAAATTAGAGGCTCTTTAGCTCTTGTTTGGAGACTAAATATTTTGGTCAAAAAAATTATTATATCATTTTCTTTTATATATATATATATATATATTTTGTCGTAAAAAGTTAAAAAAATTATTAAAATATTCTGTTTCAATGCGAAAAATAGTAAGAAGTGTACAATTTGTAATATATATTTAGTTTTTTATTTTTTTGGGGTAAGAATAATATGTATTTAGTTGAACATAAGAAATACGGTAGATAAAAAAAAAAAAAAACTAGGTATTTATATTTTTATGTGAACATCAAAAAAACTTTCACAACATTGATTTTTGTAATGAGAAAGTCTAAGGCATCTAGGAAGGTGCATATAAAATTATTCAGATTTGTAGATCAATGGTATATGTTTAAACTTCTTGATGGGAACAAAAATTTAGATATATACATATTTATTGAGATTGTAGAACCGTTCTTTTGTGATGCCCCTTTAGCAAGTTTATGACTAAGAAATAACTAATTTTTAGTGGTTAAATAGCTAATATTTACAGTCTAACAACATTTATAAATTGCAGAAGCATAAATATTGCTAAGGCAAATACAATTCATTCAAGTTAAATACTTTGAATTGACAAAAAAATAAAAATAAAAAATAACGTAAAAGCACATACCTGCAAAAACTAAGACAAGAAGCCTAAAACCCAAAATAAGAAAATTTAGCCATCTCACTGAGAATCTAAAAATCTCAAGGTTTTTATGTTTATGTTACACTTTCTGGAATGATCTATTCTAATTAGCTTGGTTTGACTAGTACTTATGGAGAGAAGGGCTCATCCAAAGAAATAGATTTATATATTGTTCACAACTATATATCACAAGCATTTGATGTTTATTTACCATATGGCCCTTACAAAATTATAAGCAAAAAGAGAATGTAACATAGTTATATTGGTTGATTTGGGAGAGATGTTATTGTCCTTTGGGTAGTATTGTCTGTGTGGGCAGCATATGCATATGCATATACATGCAGCAGTTAGTTGAATTTACTCAATTTGATTACTTGCAACCTATAAAGCACGGACACGTACACGTACACGGACACGTGACACGACACGACACGGACACGCAAAAATGTAAATTTTTAAAAAATAAGGAACACGACACGCTGGGAATACGTTCAATATATATAATTAATTTTATTTATTATATGTCATAAAATTATAAAAAAAATCATTAAAAGGTAATAAAATATACAAAATAACACTATTAAAATTATAAAAAATAAACATTTAATTGATTTAACATCATATATATCATTCACAAATAAAATTGGTTCCTATAATAAAATTAATAAACATACATTATTAAAATTATATACTCAAATAATAGAAAAGAAAAAATAAAATCAGAACATAAAAGAAAAAATAAAAGAAAAGAAAAAGTTAAATAAAATCAGAATAAAAGAAAAAAATAAAATAAAAGGAAAAATTAAATTAAAATCAGAATAAAAGAAAAAATAAAAAAAATAAAAAATTAAATTAAAATCAGAATAAAAGAAAAAAGAAAGAAAAAAGAAAATCAAAATAAAAGAAGGGCAAGAGAGAGAAGACGGAGCCGAGAGAGATCGATTGAGAAAAGAAGACAGGTTGAGAGAGAGAGAGAGAGAGAGCGACTGAGGGAAATCGAAGAAGAAAGAAGATCGAAGAAGAAGAGGTGTACCTTAACGACGAAGGGCGAGAGATGACTGACGACTGACGACCGACGACCGACGAGGAGCGACGATCGACAAGAAGAGACGACGAATGACGAAGTCAGGTCCTCTCTTTCTCACCCTTTCTCTGTTGTTTCTCTTCTATTCGAACTAGATTCGAAGTAGATTATGGCAAATTTTGATATGTTTTTCCTTATTTACAAATCAACCCCAAAAAAATTTAGTAAATTGTGAAATTACCCACGTACGTGTCCGAACGTGTCTATAACGTGTCCTGAACGTGTTCGGATGTGAAAAAATTAAAAAAAAATGGACACTCTCTGCTGCGTGTCGGAAACGTGTCCACCGCGTGTCCGTGTCTAACACTAGTACGGAGCCCTCGGAGAGGTGTCCGTGCTTCATAGCTTGCAACAAAGTAATTTATGAAGACTGCAATTTGCATTGCAAATAAGCACTCAATTCTCTTTACATGACTTGCCTTTGGTGTTTTTTTTTTTTTGTTATATAAGATTTGTTGGGACAGCTTATGTGTACTAGACTAAGTTCTTATAATCCGAACAAGCCTTTTGAAACAGAGCTTAGCCCTAGAGTCTGTGACCTCGAGGTATGCATTTGCTGGCTAGGAGATTCGAACTTGAAACTTGGGAAGAAGCAAACCTCCAGGCCCTAATCGTCATTCACTAGGCCAACCATCCTGTGGTTTGTTTCCTTTGTTCATCTCTGTTGGATATTTTGATACGCAGATGATGGATTTCTTGCAAAGAAGCACACGCACCAAACGGATTAGAGGACAGTTCTCTCTCTCTCTCTCTCTCTCTCTCTGCACATGCACGCCGTGTGGAATTGTTTGTTCTAAAACGACACTCGATAGTTGTTGATTATGTCTTAACATTCAAACACGTTTCTGTTTTTAAATCTTTTTACGTTGTATTTGATCGATAGATTTGATTTAATAAGAAAAATAAAAATAATTATAATAGAAAATACATGGGAAAAAAAGTAATAACGAAATATAATTTCACTTTTTATATCTTAGGTTCTCTCTCTCTCTCTCTCTACACATGCATGCCGTGTGGAATTGTTTGTTCTAAAACGACACTCGATAGTTGTTGATTATGCCTTAACATTCAAACACGTTTCTGTTTTTAAATCTTTTTACGTTGTATTTGATCGATAGATTTGATTTAATAAGAAAAATAAAAATAATTATAATAGAAAATACATGGGAAAAAAAGTAATAACGAAATATAATTTCACTTTTTATATCTTAGGTTCATTTAGATTTAGGAAAATTAGTCTAAGGTCCCTCTCCCATTTTTAGTAATGGAAGAGATCCACAATATTATTGTTTGAAGTCTAAGGTCCCTAAACCCACAATCATATATCAGATCAGAGAAATTTAACTCTCTCTATTTCTGATCTTCATTCTATTCAAACCAAACCCTCTCTCTTTGTGCACATTCCTCTCTCTCTCTCTCTGCTCCTTTATCCTCTCTCAGTCTTCATCTCCGACGCCGCCGAGCCATGGCAACTAGGGTCGCAAGAGTTGCTGACTCAGCATCGTCTCTGATCGGAATTGTGGTCGTGGCTGCATATCCAAGATCAAAGCAATGCCCTGAACTTTTGTTGCTTGGGATTGCCCAGATTAATGTGT